AGAGGTTTTAGGCCCCTACATGGCACCAGGCTGCCACAGACAGACTTGGTCTTCAGGACAAGGAAGGAAGTCCCTGGCTCTAGTTATTGCTCTCAAGGTTTGGGGTGGTTATTCGAGAGAGAAAAGAGGGCAGAGTTTACACTCGCTTTGAACCATTACCTCGGAAGGCACGCACAAGTTGTCTTCTTCCTCAGGTGAAAAATCGACCAGGCAAACGTCAATTTAAAAAGAAACTTTAAAATACAACTTCCCGGGAGCCAGGCCTGCAAGATGGCCCCACACGAGTTACCTCACCCATTCTCCCTGCTGCTGGTCCCAGCCCGGCTCCCGAGTGACCTTTCATTTTATATTGGGAGCCCACAAACAGCAAACCTGATTGGCTGAACATCGGGCTGACCTTGGGCACCACCGTCTTCCGGTGGGCCTAGCTCATCGAGCAACATCCTGACAAGAATGTTGACAAGTGTAAAGGAAGAAACGGGTTGGGATAAACTCTTGAAATCATACTGATACAGCTCAAGTAGAAAGAACATGTTTTGAGGATGATGAGGGCAACATATGTACAACTGTGCTTGACATTCTGGATGGGTGGATGGATCATGGTAAGAATTGCACAAGCTCCCAGCAAGATGCTAATAAATAAATAAATAATGTGAAAATGAGCTTCTACAAAAAAGAAAGAGAGAAGGAACTACGATACAGGCTGCTCCATGGAGTGATTGCAGGGATTCGTCTAGATTCACCAGTCTTTTGAATGTAAATGAGATGACAGCTACATGGGACTACATATCGTCAGCACGTGTGTGTTGCATCATTGGGTGAAAAAATAAAAACATTTCTGTCTTCTTCAGATATAACGTGCAGAAAACGTCAACTTTCAGGGAGCGTATTACAAATGTGCCCATTTTAGAAGGTACAATGCGTTAAATGTGCACGTTGAGAATAGACAATATTCAAGGGGGTAACAAAATTCAACTTTCAACTGGCCTTCTCAAGTTAGCGTGCTGTGCTCATGAGGCAATGCTTTACAATGACCTCGTTGGAAATGCCTATCCTGGAATAATAGGCAATGTTAGTGTGTTAGTCTGGGTTGACTAGAGAAACACATTCATAGACTCACACATGTGTAAGAGAGACCTTTATATCAAAGAGTAATTGTACATTAAGAAAACATCCCAGTCCAGTCCAGATCAAGTTCATAAATCCGATATTAGCCCTGATACCAATCTATAAATTCCTCTTCAGATCATGCAACACATGCACTGGTGCCAAATGCAGGAAGATCACAGGCCAGTGGGTGGAAAGTCTCATGGATCCAGGCGGTATAAGCATCTCAGCGCTGGCAGGGGTTTCCACATGGCTCCTCCAGCTCCAAGGCTCTAGCGCAGCCCATGTGTCTTGTCAACAGGGATGTCTCACAGGTAGTGTCTGTCTGTCCCGCCTCCAGTGAGTTCTTCATCTCTTTAGCGCCTCCAGATGAGGTCATCAAGCTGCGACCTGGTTGACAAGCTAAACTCCACCTCTTCGCTCTGAAGTCTCAAGCCGACAACAGATTAGGTAGTAACTACCTGAGCTGGATTACACAATCTAACCAGGAATGCTCATTTCTATTCCAGCCTCTATTCCAGCTGAAATGTCACCCACCTTCATGACACCACCCGTGAGTCCTTGATTATCACTGTCTGATAGTCAGGTTTTGTGTCAACCTGGCTGAGTCAGGATTCTCAGTGGTCTGGTGATTACGGCCTAGCAATCCCCATGATGCTATGCCCACCTCCATACTGGGCTCTGCTATGAGCAACCAATCATCTGTAAGAAATGAGGGGGGAGTATACCCCTTTACTCAGGCCACAGTCCTGATGCAATCAATAGAAAGGACATTTCTGTGGGGGTGTCGTCTACTTCCTAGATAAGTGGACACTGTGGACCTTCTTGCTTGCTTTTTGTTGGGTCTGGATCCTGAATCTGGCTCGTCAACCTCCAGTTCTTTGGACTTCAGCCAACTGCCTGCCATACTGCCTGCCGATCCAGGAGTCATCAGCAGCCTGCCGTGTGTAAGGCCTGCATTCTAACCTGCCATCTTGGATTTATTCGCCTCCCCAATCATAAACCTGGCATGCTGACTGTGATAGGTAGGTTTATTGTGCCAACCTGGCCAACAGGAACATGTGGAATTAATGAGGTTACAGTTTGATTGGAGGGCAAAGAGACAAATGGCTTGGTACCACCACCACCACCCCTCTTGCTCTCTGGTGATCGGACCAGTGTGCAGCTGCCTTAGCTAATTAGTTCTCTGCCTCAACTTGTGAGCTATACTACCTGTGGGACATCCAACTCATGGATCTTGTCATGGAGTTTGAGGTTCCTACGAGACCTGCATTGCCATATTGCTGGTGTATACATTGCTTGAGCTTGAGGCTGTCGGATTCTGTCGTTTTGCATTGCTTGAGTTTGATATCCCATCCTGCCTGCTTTACTAAGTTCCTGAGCTGGTAATTGTTGGTGACTCACCCTACTGTTTGCTGCCTGTGGCCTGACTGCTTGCATTGCGCTAGGGAAGACTCAGTTGTCTGCTTCCTTGACCTTGGACCCAGCAGCCCTCTTGAGTTGAAGGACTTCCAGTATATTAACTGTTCCACAGAAGTGAGTTGAACTGAGCCCTGTACTGCTATGTGGACTAATATATAAATAGAGAGAGAGATACACAAAAATCATAAGTGTCCTGGCTCTATTTCTCTAACACACTGACCTTGGGGTCATCCACCTCTGCACCCTATAGTGTTTCTGCTGAAACGGAACCAGGTGTTAAAAAAAAAAAATGGCATAGGAGTCAAATCCGATCGCTTCACCTAACTTCCTAAGGTGGAGAATCATCATCAGTGTCAACCCAAAGTGGGTTCCCGTGGGAGTCAGACACACCTTCACCCGCCCAACTTTTTACCAATTCTGACACCAGCCATCCCTCTCACAGCACTCTCTACTTCTCTGGTAGGTTTGATAACTTACTGCAATGGTCACGCGAACTCGCAGATTACGCTCATGGTTATGGGGTTGTTAGGGAACTAAAAGTTATAACTTGGAGTCCGGATCAGGAAGCATGTAGGCAGTCTCCCTTCTTCAGGACAGAACCACTCTCTCAGATCTTCTTGGCCAGGGGAGCAAGCAAATCCTTCTCTGTGCCCTGCACACTCCTCAAGACGGGCTCCTCTCAGCCCTGGCCCCTGCCCTGCCTGGGCAAGTGCTGCAGTCTTTGGGGCACCCTGCACCTCCACCAAGCTTTGCCCAGAAGTGCTCAGCTCTCTCCCTCCCTGGGCCAGGACACAATCGACTGGTTGGAACACCCAAAGCAGGTCTCCTGGTTCAGCTGCCCAGCTTCTTGGCAATCTCTGGTGTTGCAGCATTTCCTGTCTCCTGGGTCTAGGAGGTTCTCAGCTCTGGAACTTCAGATTCAAAAGATGCGCTCCACTCTTAGCAGTTCCTTGGTGGCAGTTGGATCATCTTTCTGCCTCTGGGACGGTTTTCTTTTAAGCCCCATGGGATGGCAGAACTGACCTATTATTGGCGTGATTCTACCCACTTGCTCACCCCACCCCCACCCCCCACAGATTCCATGCACCTCATTTGCATTAGTCACAGATTGTCCAATCCCCTTATGGACCACAAACACCTTCTTTGCATAGCCCCACCCAATCGTTCTGTGGGCGGCACAGACCATGTGTGCTTAAATAGCCCACAGGAAGCCAGTCATTCAAGGCACCAACACCAGGTCTCCCCCTGAGGAGACTATTTAAATCTGCGGTATTGTGAGGCATTTGCAAATTTGTCTCGCCCTCACCGCCAGGAAGACAGGTACCAGGGCTTATTCATCTCTGCATTTCCCAAGTACACCAGAAGCCCTCAATTAAAGTTTGCATGCTTGAAAAGACAGCTCCGTCAGCTACTAGAAGCTTGTCAGTTAATAATTATCTAAAGCTGTGAATCAGTGGCCTATAGAAAATCTCTCAGAAGCGTGGTCCCACCACATCTACTGCTAACTATTAGCACTCTTTATTCTTGTTTTTCCTTACTTTTAGACAATCCTATGGGGGAGAGGGGGGGTGGGTGGGGGGATGTTCAGAAAGTTGGTGGGAAACTTCCATTCGCTTTTTGTTCCATATTTCTACCAACTTTTGAAGCCGCTTTGTAGTCCTATCACACAGATTAAGCCCCAAGCCCAAACCAAAACTGTCGCTGTGCACTGGGTCCCAATTCATAGCGACCCCGTAGGGCAGATTAGAACGGTCTCAAGAGCTTCTCAAGGCTGTTAATCTTTACAGAAGTAGATTGCCACATTTTCACAGCGCGGCCACGGGTTCAAACCACTGACCTTTGGATCAGCAGCCAAGCGCTTAACCCCTGGGCCGCCGAAGCTCTTCATAACCGAAGTCCCGAGTGACCAGATAACTTCCCGGGTCTCGAGGATGGTGGCTGAGGTGCGGAACCATTGGTCAGTACCGACTCACGGTGACCTTGTGCGCAGCCGCAAAAGGAGACACTGCCCGGCCCCGGGGCCACTGTCCCAAGGCTCACCTGAGCCCACGGTTTGCAGCCACGGTGCCAACCTGTCTCAATGAGGGTCTTGCTCTTTGGAGCTGCCCCTCCACTTGACTAAGCATGACGTCCTCCTCCAGGGACTGGTCTCCCCTGACAACACGTCCAACTTCGTGTGGTCCTCACACCATCTTGAGTCGCAGAGCGGGAGACCCTGAGAATCTTGGAGGGTGGGGTGGGAGGATCCCATCTACCAAGGGGGCGGCCCTAACTGCAAAGCGGGCGTGCCCGATGTGCAGCGGTGTTGGTCTGCGGAGGGGAGGCCACAGACGGCTAGGGGTGCAGGCAGGGGCCAATCCCAACCACGAGCAGTGGTTGGTGAAGGGGCCGTGTCCGAAGTCATCTGGGGTTGCTCACTGCCCCCACCCCACCCCTCCAGGGCTGAGGGCGCATGCGCAGTCCGGCTACTCGGTCCTGCTGCGTCCGGGGACAAAGTACGCGCAGTTCTGGTCCGGACGTCTGACCCGGGCTTGGCGGACTGCAGCATGGCCGGGCCTGAGCTGGGGTCGCTGGAGCAATGCCTAGAGAAACACCTGCCACCTGCGGAGCTGCGGGAGGTGAAACGTATCCTCTACGGCAAGGAGACCAGGTAGGGTGCAAATGCTGAGCCGGTGAGGTGGGGGTCCCGAGCCCACCATGGGCACGTCTTGGGGGTGGCCAGGGAGAAGGCTTTAAGGTCTGGGGGTCCTAAAGTATGGCATTAGGACCCTGAATTGGGAAACCGAGAGCATCGGGCCCTGGGTGTCATGGATCCAGGGTGCTCTGGGGCTGCTGGGTCAGGGTGATGGTTACAAAACCCCCCCTCAGTACCACCCACCTCTCCTCCCAGAGGTGCCCAGACTCCATCCTGCAAGGACCCGTCTGAGTGGGAGTGGGGGTGGGAACCTGGGGGTGCATAAGGAGCCACTCTTTCCCATTGGCTGCCCCCCTCCCCCGGCGTGAGTGACCAGTCTCGAGTGCCCACCCCCAAGTTTTGAGTCTGCTCCGATTCATGGTAACCCTGCAACTGTTCTGAGACAGACCACCAGGCCTTTCTATGGCAGCACCTTTGGGTGGGCTTGAGCTGACAACCTGGTGGTCCAGCAAAGAGGCTCCCCCATCCTTGCTCACCCCTACACAGGAATAAAGCTCAGGGCCGTGGAGCCAACCCTAGCACGGCCACCCTGCAGGACAGAAGGAAATGCTCCCTGGGGTCTCCCACACTGCCACGGGAGCTATGGCCACGTGCCCTGTGGTTTCTTTGCTTCCTTCGAACTCTCCCATGGCTTCTATGCCTGACCCTGCCACAGGGGCCTTGCTGTCCACCTCCCGATGTCCTCTCTAGAGTGACACCTGGCCCTCCTCCTCCCCCACCCCCAAGCTGGCCAGAGAGGACCTAGAGGCAGTGACCTTGAGGCTGGACTGCAATGGGCATGGCTGCTCTCACAGCCAGTAGCAGGTGGGCGGGGTGGGGGGTAGGGTTGACTGGCCCTGGGAGATGGTGCTCTTCCCAAACTTTCCCAAGAGTTCTCCCCCACACAGAGGGGACCCCCTGCTAGACGCCTCTGTTTTTTTTCTGAGAGTTGGGGCTTCAGAAGAAAATGTGGTAAAACGATGAACGTCTCAGCTCCCGGGGAGGGCACGGTGCGTTGGTTTTAAGGGTAGGGTGCATGCTCTCCTGATAAGATCCTGTGCGGAGCTGAGAGGGAGAGAGCAGAAAACCCTGTGTGTGTAGGGGGAGGTTGCGGGGGTCAACAACCCACAGCTGTCTAGTGGATTCTGACAGCAACCCTGTAAGGGCAGACCAGAACCGTCTTCTAAGGTTTCAGAGGCTGTCCATCAGTACAGGAGCCTGCAGCCTCATCTTTCTCCCTTGGAGAGGCCAGTGAGTTCGAACCAGCGACCTGGCGGTCAGCAGCCCCACAAGCACTGCTGGAGCTCCTTAGCGATGAAGAGGAGTCCTTGTTTTTCATCCTCTCCCCTTGTCCCCTTTGGTCCTCCGCTCCCTGTGTGCACGTCCCTTTTAAGGTAGAGTCTAATTTTAATTGTTTACAATTACATGGTGCCTGACCATGAAGGAGGCGAGGGAGAAGTAGGGGGGATGGGACATGGAGGACGGGGCTCCTGGGGGGGTGCCCAGGGCTGGGGCCCGGCAGCTGGGCCTCGCTCTGCATCCAGTGAGGCCTGCAGGGACAGAGACGGGATGCTGAGGAGGGGCACAGCCTAAGGCTCCCATGCTGTGGCGAGGGGGCACGAAGGGGTAGGATTTGCCCCCTTTGTTGAGTTTGGGGGTTTAGTCTTTTCAGAACTTTTCTGTGAAGGTGGGCAGAGCGGATTCGTGCCCCATGCAAGCATCCACACTCTGTGTCCTGGCCCTAATGAGACAGCTCTCATCCATCTGTCTTTTCCAGGGTGGTGGGATAGTGGTCACTCAGTGGGCTGCTGACCACAGGTCAGCAGTTCAAAGCCAGCAGCCTTTCTGTAAAGAGTGACAGTCTCAGAAACCCACGGGAGCACTTCTCCCCGGGCTCAGAGGGTGGCCATGAGTCGTATCGACTCGGTGACAGTGTGTTCGCTTCTTGGTTTTTCAGCCTCTCCCACCACTTGTCTGTTAGGTTGTCGTCCTGCATGGCTTGTGTGTGGCTTTGCTGCTGAACGTGCTGTCCCTGGTGTTTCTAATATGCCAGCAGGGTCACTTAGAGGCGAGGATGGCCAGACTTTGCCTCGCATCTGGGGACGTGTTGTCAGGAGAGACCGGTCCCTGGAGAAGGACATCGTGCTTGGTCAAGTAGAGGGGCAGAGAGAGGGAGGGAGCCCTGGACGACACGGATGGACCCAGGGGCAGCAACAATAGGCTCGGGCATGGGAACCATTGTAAGGAGGGTACAGCACCAGGGGGTGCTGTGGGTCGGAACCAACTCCACAGCACCGGGCAACGGCAGCCGGCCCCTTCCTGCCTCCTGCTTGTCTCCGACCCAAAGGTACCCTTTTGGTCTCCTGGGCGTGGCCCCTTGGGTGGGCACCGCCCTGCTACCTTTGTGTTGAAGACGACATCCTGCAGGCTGACTGGGCAGGCAGGGTGCTGGGACGCTCCGGGGTGGGGAATGGAATGGCTCACTGGGCTGCTGACCTAGAGGTTTGAGGTTCAAGTCTTCCCTGAGGTGGTTGGGCAGAAAGGCCCAGTGATCTGTGGGGGGTGGAGTGGCGATGGCCCAGGGAGCAGAGGGCACTCTGGTCTGCAGGGAGCCTGGGGAGAGGGGCGGGGACTGCTCTCAGAGTGATGCAGTCAGGGAGAGTGGACCGTGGGCTTCAGGGACAGTGAAGATGGTTACAGCCTCCTGGATGGCCAAGGGGGACAGGTCCCCGCCCTTCCCCAGAACCCCCTCCCAGGGTACTGGGCCTTCTGCCATAGGCTCAGCTCAGGAGGGTGTAGCCACCAGCCCCTCTATCTTCCCAGGGTCTGCCTGAGCGAGCCATTAGAGTTACCCGAAAGCAACTCGGGGTGCCCTGGCGTCGTCCAGAGGGGTGCTGACTGGCTGAGCGTCAGCCCCACCCCTGTTGGCAATGGGCCCTGGGTGTGCATGGCAGGCGGGCTAGTTGTCAGGGGCGGGGTGCAGCCCAGAGCTGTCAGGGGGCGGCTGGGAGCAGGGCTGACAGGACTATGATTTTGAAGAGAACGTCTTTGAGAGTGATGTAAAGTGGGAGGGGAGGGGGGTTATTCTTAGATCTCGGCTGTCAGGTTACTTCTGATGTGTTCCCGGGAGATTTCATAACACCCCCCCACCCCAGGGCCCTTGTCCTGGGGACAGTGGGTGTCGGAGGGGTGTATCCATGGTGACTGTCCGCTGGGCAGTGTTTGTTGTAAGTCGCCCTTCTGTGTTCGTTGCTCCCCTGACCCGGCCAGGCAAGCCCTGAGCTCTGTCCGTTCAATGGCTTTGACACAGAAGCCACCATCAGACAGCCATGGGTGCGGGGTGTCTCTGAGATAAAGTCCTAGTGGGAAATGGCCACAGCACCCCCACCCTGGCACCCCAAAGCCACATGCTCCAGTCTCCACAGGCCCTCCTACCCCCACGGCCTGCCCCTTCCCCAGTCACAGCTCAGTGCACGTCTCGGGGTCAGTCTGGGCCCTGACATGGCTGCTCTGGTGGTCCCCCTGGAGAACCCACCCCCATGATCCCTCGAACCCCTGACCACTTCGCTACGTAGGGTGCAGGAGGGACAGGGTGGCTGGAAACGCCGTGGCCCTCATCCGTGTCTCCTCCCTTCTGTCCTTCCTAGGAAACTGGAGCTGCCCCTCGAGGCCCTGGACGCGGCCGCAGCCGGGGACTTCGAGCTGCAAGGCTACGCCTTTGAGGCGGCCCCCGAACAGCTGAGGGGGCCTCGCAGCGTGCGAGTGGGGCTGGTGCAGAACCGGACGGCCCTCTCCACCGATGCCCCCGTGGCTGACCAGGTGTGTGAGTATGCCCGCCCCAGGCCCAGGCCACCACCTGTGCCCAGGCCAGCCTGCTCCGTTCCACCCTCCCCAGTGGCCCCTCCAGATCATGATCAGAAGTTCTGTTTGCTAAGTGGCAGCTGGCACTTGGTGCAGGGGCTCTGCCAGTATCTCCCGCCGGGGCACCCCAGCCCGGGCCGCTGGTGACCCTGGTGTGGCTGTGTCTCTCTCGCGCGCAGTCACAAGCCCTGGACCGGCAGCCAGGGACGCCTAGGGTACAATCGGCAACTGTAACCTTGGGAAACTCGGTGACTTGCTGCCATTGTGTTTGATGCGATAGGACAGGGTAGAGCTGCCCCCTTGGGCTTCCGGGACTTCTAAACCTTTACCAGAGCAGACAGCCTCATCTTTCTCCCAAGGAGTGGCTGGTGGGTTCGAACCGCTGAGTGTATGGCTAGCCGCTCAATGGGCAACCAGAGCTCCCGAAGACCCACCAGTTCTTCACGTGTGAGTGTGTTTCAGCTGCCTAGGTGGAGGAATAAGCAAGACTGAGAACCCAAATCCATTGCCGTTGAGTGGATGCTGACTCACAGCGACCCTCTAGGACAGGGCAGACCTGCCCCTGTGGGTCGCCAAGACTTTCACTCTTGAGGGGAGTAGACATCCCCGCCCTTCTCCTGTGGGGCGGCTCGTGGTTTCAAACTTTGGACCCTTTGGATTGCAGCCCAATGTGTAATTCCTGCACTATAGGAGCTCCTGTCATAAACATAGAATAAAGAACTTTATACCAACAAGTCATCTTTTTAAAAACATTTTATTGGGGGCTCTTACAGCCCTTATTAGCATTCCATATATTAGCATTGTATCAAGCATATTTCAATTCTTACAGCCCTTATTAGCATTCCATATATTAGCATTGTATCAAGGATATTTCAGTTGTATCAAGCATATTTGTACGTATGTTGTCATCATCATTTCCAAAACATTTTCTACTTGAGCCCTTGGTATAAGCTCCTCTTTCCCCCCCTTCCCTCCCTCGTGTATCCTTGATCAATTATCTGTTGTTATTGTTATTTTGTGTCTAGCACTGTCCCTTGTCTCCCTTCACCCACATTTCTGTTCAACACGTAATCTTATATCAAAAGAAGGCACCCCATCTCAGTTCAACTCCAGTCCATAAGTCTGATGGTAGGCCCCAAATCCCTCTTCAGACTCACGCAGCCTCAGGCCGGATCGCAGGGCAGTGGGTGCAGCGTCTCAGGACCCAAGGTCGCGAAAAGCATGACAGGGCACAGGCAGCTCTCCGGATCTGGCGGGTGTGCCCACCCCTGAGGCCAGCAGAGTCCCAGCACGCAGGAAGGCGGCGGGGCAGAGAGTGAGGCAGTTCCAGTCAGTACCAATGCCCAGTGACCCCATGCCTAACGGCACCATCATTGCCAACATTGCTACATGGTTGCCTGTTGTTGCATCTGGACCTGGCCTTACCAGTAGCGCTAAACCTAAAAAAACGAAACCCACTGCCGTTGGCTCGACTTGAACGCACAGCGGCCCTACGGGACTACGTCGAACTAACTGTCCCTGTGGGTTTCTGAGAGTGTCTGTCATTAAGGAGGTACACAGCCTCATCTTTCTCCCCTGGGGGGGGGGGGGCTGTTGGGTTGACTAGTGGCTCTCCACTGAGCGCCCCCCTCCCTCTGCCTTGCCAGGTCTCCGCCCTGCACCGCCGCATCCAGGCCATCGCCGAGGTGGCCGCCATGTGCAAGGTCAACATCATCTGTTTCCAGGAAGCTTGGAGTAAGTCTCTTCTCTGCCCCAGAGCGGGTTGCCGCACCGCAGCTTCCAGACACCCAGGGAGAAGGCCCCTTCTCTGGCGCAGCCCTCTGCCCACAAACTTCGCCAAGACACCCCCCCTCCCCCATCTTTGCTTCACCTTGACGAGGGCTTGCTGCCGACTGTTCAAAAGTATTTCCTCCCTTTTCTGACTGCTAGGAAAGACTCTTGGTCTGCCGCTTCAGGGGCCCCCCAGCACGGGCACACCGCCCCCCGCCACGTGGTCTGAATCCACTCCCTGGGCCCAATCTGCCCTCAACGTCTCTCTTTTGAATATAGTTTTATTGACATCTATGTCACATCCTACAGTTTAATAGTTTGGTCACGTGAAGATTTGTGTAATCATTGCCACAATCAATTTCAGGACATGTTCTTCTTTGTCCTACTCGTTGTTAGCGCCCCATTCTGCACTGCCCCCCCCCCAACCTCCCCTGCCATGCCCCTGGTAATTATTAATCCACTTACCTACCTGGGATTTCATATACAGAAAATCCTATAAAACACACACAGCAACCAAACAAACCTCAAAAAACAAACAAAAGCACAATGACTAGACAACACCGAGAGAAACCTCCATCAGAAAGCAACCAGAAAATAGTAAAAACGGAAACAACTTTAAAACGGGTCCAAGGGGCGATAACATGATAGCTACATGAGCCGTAAACGACTTAGCCTTGCTCTCTGTCCAACAGCAAGATTATGCACATCCCTCAGCTTTGATCCGAGGGGATCTGCCAGAGGCTTAATCCATGCGTGGACCCTGCAGATGGACTTGGGGCTCGCACTGTCATCCACAGCCTTCTGCACACCAGGTGCTCACCGTCTAAGCTCTGCTGCCATTCCCTCCTCCGGATTTTGATGGCATTGTTTACAATCCTTGGATCACACAGGCCAGTGCGCTTCTTCCATGCAGCTTTAGTGGGTCCCTCTCTTGGATCATGGCCTGGTCTTGGGGTGGGGGCGGGGGCGCTTATTCTACATCAATAGAGGAATCCTCTGGCTTGTTGCACAAACACATCTAGATTTTTTTTTTTTTTTATCACAAAGCCTTGGTGGTGCCGGGCACAGGCAAGACTCCAAGATGTTGGTGTAGACGCAGAGAGTGGGGCAGGGCAATGGTTGAGCCGGTTCTGACTCCGTGACCCGATTGGACAGAGCAGAACGGCTCCTTAAGGTTCCTGAGCCCATCGGGTTCTTCGGGAACAGACAGCTTCACCTTTCTCCCTGGGAGCGGCTGGTGAGTTGGAACCCGTGACTTTCCAGTTTGCAGCCCGATGCTTAGCCCTGAGCACCACCGGGGATCCTTGTAATCGCCTAGGAACACTGCAACTCAGTTGACCCCGCCATGGCTCCCCACCGCCACTGAGCTGATGCCTGAACCATAGTGACCCAAGGAGACAGAGTACAGCTGCCCTTGTGGGTTACTGAGACAGTAACGCTTTACAGGAGTAGAAGGCAGCCCTTCTTGTAAGCCACTGCCCCCCCAGGACTTCTGTCCCTCTCGATGGGGGTGGGCGAGATTTGCTTTGTCCTCCTCTGGGAGGTTCTCGCCTTCTGCGGGTTCAGGCTTTTTCAGGCCCAGCCCTCCCTGGCCACGTCCAGATGGGAGCCCCTGACCACGGGCATCCTGTTAAGTCCGGGGCCCCAGGAGGGGACTCACCATGAGCCGTGGGGGCCGACGAGGATTCTGGGGCTGGAGCTGACGTGAGTGCCACCTGCATAAACCCAGCCTTGCAGAGGCTGGGGCCCATGGGGGTGAGGGTGGGGGTGGGGGTGAGGCTGCCTGGGTGGGCTGGAGGTACTGGCCCAGGGCTGCTCCTGGGTGTTGCACGTGTCCTTGAGAATAAGGGCTCAGAAAGCAAGCTGTGGACTGAGAACCCCTCGCCCCAGCCCCAGCCCCACTGCCCTCGGCTCATTCTGACTCAACAAACAGCCTCTCTGTAGGATGGAGTTGAACTGCCCCTGACAGGAGCCCACAGCCTCCTCTTGCTCCTTCAGAGCGGCTGGGGGTTCGAACTGCTGCCATTGAGGTTAGCAGCCCAGGGCTTAACCACCTCAACGGTGCCACCAGAACCCCTCAGCCTCCTCTTGCTCCTTCAGAGCGGCTGGTGGGTTCAAACTGCCAACCTCGGGGAGAGCAGACTGTTGTGTAACCCACAGTGCCACCGAGGCTCTTTGGAGGTCCAATAACCGAGACCGGTTCTCCATTCTTTAACATGTGGAATGCGGGCGTCGGGGGAGTGGGGGACAGGGCGGACGAAGGCACGAACAGTGACTGGTCCTTGGCAGAAGTCCTGACAGCTAGGGCGATGGCTGTGGGGCAGAATCTGGGTGCATCTCCTGTCTTTGGAGATGGGCAGAGTCCCTCGAACTCGGCCCTGAGTTTCTCTGGGGGGAAGCGTCTGCCCTGTGGGATCTCGTTCTGTGTTGGAATCACCTCGATGCAGTGGCTTTGACTCTCCCCCTCTCTCCTGCTTAGGCGAGGGTCCATGAAGAAGGATTGGTTACTGGGATTCGCGCTCATACGAGGACACGGGTCTCTTTCAAACAAAGTTCTGTTTAGACATGCCCCTGCCATCCATGGTGACTGCAGACCAATCCTCTTGGGAATACACTTGTCTTGGGCTCGTTGGGGTGCATTCATACAGAGCAGGCTCATCGAAGCAATGGCCTGCGAGGGGTCTGCTGGGCCAGTGTGTCAGTCCGATGGACTGAGAATAAAATTCATAGACACGCCTATGTGTATAAGAAAGAACTTTATATACAAGGAAACATCCCAGTCCAGTCCAGATCAAGTCCATAAGTCCGATATTAGCCCATACAACCAATACCAGTCTATAAATTCCACTTTAGATGCACACAGCCATGCAATAAAGCTGAACTCAGGAAGATGACAGGCCCGTGGGTGGGAAGTCTTGTGGATCCAGTGGCATTGTAAGCATCTCAGTGCTGGCTGGGGTCTCCATGTGGTTCCTCCAGTTCCTGGCACTAGCGTAGTTCCATGTGCCTTGTCAGCTGCAGTGTCTCCCAGGGAGTGAGCCGGTGTCCCACCTGAAGAGAGCTATTTATCTCTTTAGTGCCTCCAAATGAGGTCATCAAGCTGCCACCTGATTGACAGGCTCAACTCCACCCCTTCACTCATAAGTCTCAAATTGAGAACAGATCGTGTAACAACCACAGCCAGTTGGATGCAAGGCTGACAGTCAGCTCAGAAGTTTAGGGTGACTCTCGGGCGGGGGGTGACGAGATGAGAGCATCCCCTTGATTGGTTTTTCTCATGGGATGATGGGGGTGGGGGTGGCTTCAAGGACGACGTTGTAAGGAAGGAGCTTTGGTGAAGGCAAAGGCCAAGAATGTCAAGCTGAGTGATTATTTTCGTTCCCCCCTGCCCCCCTTCACATCAAGGTACCCGTTCATTCTTTGGGAGCAGCCGGTGCTGTCCTATGAGGCTTTTGTTGGAAAACCTTACCTCCCCGACCCTCAGCCCTGCCCCTGCCCCTGCAGCCTGCTTCTTGTTCCCCCAACCCAAAGACCACTGGGCAGATTCTCGATTCACATGCCCCAAGGACCTTCAGGCTGCCCTCTGGGCACGGGGACAGATGGAGATCCCAGAGCTCCTTGGGAAGAGTTAAGTTAGAGAGATGGTACCACGGGGCCTCAGAAGCACCTGGCACCTGCTGGAGGCTGTGTGTGGAGAAACAAGAGCTCCCCCGTGGCTGTTTTCTGTCCCCTAAAGGTTTCTCTGAGGCCGCTGTGATCCGTTTTGCTTTAACCTCGTATTTTCCCAAAGAGAAAATGAAGAGCTGGTTGTGGGCTCGAGGAGGGCTCATCTCCTGGAGCTCTTTCTTACCTGCTGTTTGCTGCATGACCCAGGCTGCTGGCAGCTGTAGGCCCTTCCTCCCAGGCGGCTCGGTCCCCAGAGAAGCGCTTTCTAATCGCCTGCCAAGAAGGAGGCAGACGGGGCCCCAGGGGAGTGCTGGACTCTCAGACCTTCTTTCTCAGTGCCTCCCCCCCTCCACCCACCCATGGCCATGACCCAACGTGAAACACCCTCTGGAGAATGGGTTTCCAGCCTTCTCTTGGGGAGAGGGTCTGGGCAAAGCACTGCTTCCTCCCCAGACCCAAGCAGCCCACGCCCCCCCGCCCCCTCTTCCCCATCCACAGGCACCTCTGCTCTCTAGGAGGGTCTGTGGGAGAGTGTGGGATGGGGGTGCCCCTGGTCTTCTCCGCTGCTGCTGGGGACTCTGGGTTTTCAAACCAGCTGAGCTAGGAGGGGGCTCTGAAAGTTCCTGGGAAAACCCCCATTGTCTTTGAATCCCAGTTTTCCTCAAACTTTTTGAAGCCCCCCTGCCCCCTGTGCAGGCCTGCTTTCCTATCTTGTGGCTTTCGGCCCATCTCTGGGGGACCCAAAGGGGCGGCTTGACTGTCCTGTAGGGTCGCTGTGCGTGGGAATCCACTTGACAACAGGGAGAGGCAGTGGGTTAAGATTTCAGAAGCCGTAAATCTTTAAGGGTTTTAAGGAACTGCTGCTGACCTTGCGGTTAACGACCCCAGTGTAACACCGTCAGGACTCCTCCTGGTCCCTGGCAAACTTAACTGCCACGGAGACACTCCTGACTCACGGCGACCCTGCAGGACAGCGTAGAACTGCCCCTGTGGGTTTCCAAGATGGTGACTCTGTCTGGGGGTTCCTGCCAGGCCGGCCCTCCACAATTCAATTTCTGCCCTTTATTGGGACTGGGAAACTCATCTGGCAAGGCCCAGCACACTGGTCTCACCTTTGAAAGGAGCCCTGGTGGTGCCCTGGTTAAAGTACTCGGCCGCTGTATTAGTCTAGGTACTTTGGAGAAACAAATCCACAGCAACTCATGTATAAGAGAGTTTTATGTAAAGAAAATGTGCATCATGAAAACATCCCAACCCAATGCTGCCCAAGCCCACAAGTCCAACATTAACCCATTAACCCAACACCAGTCCACAAAGTCCTCCACCTCACAAAACAGGCAATGACGCCGACTGCAGGAGGAAAGCTGAGTCGGTAAACGAATAAACATCTCAGCACTGGCAGGGGTCTCCACACGGCTGCTCCAGCACCCAGGGCTGCATCGGGATAGGTCCAGGTGGCTTCTCCTTGGGGATGTCTTGTAGGAAGTCAATCTTGCAAGCTGAAGCAGGGAATTGGTAAGGCAGCTGCACCTTGGTGCGACCATCACAAAGCAAGAGACCCGAGAACTAGAAAGGCGAGGCTCACCACCCATTTATCCCTCCGCCTTTCAACCAGCCCCACATGTGATTATCGGCCAGGCTGGCACAATTAACTAACTCAGCCGCTAGCCACAAGGTCAGCAGTTCGAACCCACCAGCTCCCCCGTAGGAGAAAGATGAGGCTGTCTGCCCCCAGAAAGACTGACATCCACGGAAACCCAACGGACACAGTTCCACCCTAGCCCACAGGGTCGCTATGAAACGGAGTCCGTTTGTAGGACTCTCAGGAGCCCTGGTGGCACTGTGGACTAAGCACTGGGCTGTTAACCACAAGGTCAGCAGTTCAAAGCCACCAGGCTCTCTGTGGGAGAAAGAGGAGGCCGTCTGCTCCCCTGAAGACCAAAGGGCCGCTCTGAGTCGGAATGGCCCCGGGCCAGAGTGGGTTTGTGGGCCCTGGATCCCCTCACCTGCAGCCACACCATCTGAATCTAGAGGCTGACCCCGAGTTGATTAAAGAGGGGCCAGCCCGGCACCCTCTTGCTGCAGAAGGCCTGGGTGGTGGACTCTGGGTCTCCCGCCCCCATCCATTGACATCAGGGCACTGGGTAAACAGGAAGCAGCGACAGCAGCCAGGAGAAGAGGACTTGGAAGGAGATGGAGAGACGGGAGGTTTGGCTCCCTTGGGGCTCTTGTGTGTGTGTGTGTGTGTGTGTGTGTGTGTGTGTCCTGGCGTCCTGAAAGCTGAGAATTGATGGCCAGCGAGAGATGTTGGTGTGAGTGCCTGCTTCTCTGCCAGCCTCCTTAAAATAGCTGGTGCCTCCTCCCAGAGGCCAGCCTGGCCCCACGGGCTGCAGTTGGCTCCAGCTGCTGTCCACTCGCCTGTCTCCCCTGGGTGGCCACCGGTAGTGAGGCAGGGGTTGGCACCTTCTCACTGAACCAGGAATGGTGGGCACAGTGGGTTAAGCAGGGACCGGCTCACTGTAAGGTCTGTGGTCCAAACCCACCAGCCCCTTCTCGGAGACAGATGAGGCAGTCTGCTCCGGTGACCACTGACCTCCTCAACAACCCAGGGAGCCGATCTACTCTGCCCTAGAGGGTCGCCAGGGGTGGGACCCTGACTCCACAGCAGTGGGCGGGCCCTGGTGGAGCACTGGGTTAAGCACTGGGCCCTCACCGGAAAGGTTAGCAGCTCCGAGAGAGGAGGAAGAGGCTGCCTGCTCCTGTGAAGACCTACAGCCTGGGAAGCCCAGGGGTCAGGTCTACCCTGCCCTGCAGCATGGCTAGCGGGCAGCACTGACTTGACGGCAGGGGGTGTGGACTTGGGGCGTTATTAGGGCACAATTTTATGGGAGATAGATATGACTTCCTACTCCCGTAAAGAGTTACAGTCTGGGAACCCCCCCAAGGGCAGCTGTCCCCTGCCCTGTGGGGTCACTGTGAGTCAGCATGTACTCGATGCCACTGGGTGGGAGATGGGCACAACCTTAGGGCCAGGGTCCTGAGGGTCGGAGTTTTCTAACTGCCCTGTGACATGCTTGACCAGGCCTCCAAGGCTGAGCTCGGGGCCTGACATGGTGACCTAAGGGGAGCGGGAGGGAGTAAGTACTAGGAATAACAGGGAGGAGGACTCGCTCACCCCCTAAACCACAAAAAAAATCCCAAACCCACCGCTACCGAGTCCGTTCGGACTCCTAACTGCCCCTGTGTGTTTCCAAGACTGTGAACTCTTTCTCTCGTGGAGCAGCTTCCAACTTCCTTCGCCGTGGATTCAAACTGCCGACCTTGAGGTTCGCAGCCCTGCTGGTAGCCTCTACCACCACCTGGAAGCTCCCAGACGGTGCCATCAGTGAACACGCTCAATTGCTAGCCAGAGGCTTAGGGGTCCGAGTCCCCCAGAGGCACCTCAAGTGAAGGGCTCACGCGGCCGTGTGAAGAGTCAGCCATTGGGCACCCCTGGTGATGCCCGCACACAGCGAGGGCGGGAACCGTGTCTCTGAGGGGCACTGGTGGAAACTGTCTGGTGAATGGGTGCTTGGTTGTGGGCACCTCACCATTGGAGCAGAAAGCCCTGCCAGGCCCAGTGCTTCTGCCGCCCACCGGGATCCGAGGGGATGGGCATCCTCCGCCACACCCCTCCCCACCTGCCCCAGAGGAAGTGGCACTCTGAGCCGGTGTTTGTGGGGGGTGACAAGCTCGCCCTGGCAGGACCGCGTAGGTGTGCAGAGGCTGGGGAAATGGCAGTAAAGAGTAACGGAAATTTCCCACCCGCTCTGTGAAGTTCCTTCCGATGGGTTTACAGATAGAAGGGGCTACTGGAACTTCCCCCCCAGCTTTTAAAAAGACATGTTGGAATCAGAAGACACTGGCTTTCCAGCCTCAGAACCCCCAGGAGGCAGTCGTGTCCCGTCTTGGGGGGGTCGCTGGCAGTCAGAATCGGCTGGACGAGCTTCGGAGGGTTGAGCTTGAATCGCGAGGGAAGGAGATTGCCGGCCTTTCTTGCGCAGTGAGGCCAGGCCCGTGGGGAGAACACACGTCTTCCTTGGTGTCTCCCCAGGGGACCCGTACTTCCCGGGAGGTCACCCGTGGGGGGCTCCCTCTACCGAGACAGCCCGTCCCTGGGTGGCAGTTTTTTTTAATATATAAATACTTTTATTGAGGGCTCTTACAGTTCTTATAACAATGTATATACATCAATTGTATCTAGCACATTTGTACATACATTGCCATCATCATTTTTTAAATTAAAAAATTGTAATCATTTTATTGGGGACTCATACAGCTCTTATCAGTATCCATCCATCCATCCATGGTGTCAAGCATATTTGTACATATGTTGCCATCATCATTGTTTAATTAAAAACATTTTTTAATCATTTTATTAGCGGCTCATACAGCACTTATCACAATCCATCCATCCAGGTCAAGCACATTTGTACATTTGTTGCCATCATCATTCTCAAAACATTTGCTTTCTACTTGAGCCCTTGGTATCAGCTCCTCATTTTTTTCCCACTCTCCCTCCCTCATGAACCCTTGATAATTTATAAATTATTATTTTTTCATGTCTTACACCGACTGTTGTCTCCCTTCATCCATGTTAATGCTGTTCGTCCCCCTGGGGGGGTGTTATATGTTGATCATTGTGATCAGTTCCCCCTTCCTCCCCCAACCCTCATGGTATCCCAACTCCCATTATTGCTCCTGACGGGTTTATCTGTCCTGGATTCCGTGTGTTGAGAGCTCTTATCTGTACCAGTGTACATGCTCTGGTCTAGCCGGATTTGTAGGGTAGAACTAGGGTCATGATAGTGGGGGGAGAAGCATTCAAGAACTAGAGGAAAGTTGTGTGTTTCGTTGGTGCTGTGCTGCACCCCGGCAGGCTCATCCCTTCCTTGTGATCACATGCTGAGGGGCCCAGCTTCCCTGAGAAATCCTGTGGTCAAGCTCTGACCATTGGGCAGGCAGCAGCTGGGGCTCTGCTGGCTGGGAAAGGTTTCTTTTGCCCCTGACTTTGAAATGGGTGCAGGTTTACAGAGCAGGTGGTCAGCTTTATATCCAACAAGGCAGGCACATTTTGTTCCACCTCATCCCTGCCATCCCCTCCGTGGGTCCTCCCGCATCCTGCGTCCTCCCTGTGTATCCTCTTGGCACCCCTCCTCCCTCCCTAACCCTGGGAACTCCGTCCTGAGGCCAGGGCTGCACCAGCATGGCTCTTGATTCAAACAGGGCCGTGAGTTCCAGCCCAGCCCAGAAGGTCGTAGCCTCGAGGGTTCCGCCAGTCTCTGACTCTCTGGTCTCCCTTCTGATTCTGCGTTCTGTGGGGAGCTGCCCATATGTTGGCATGTTGTCTCCTTAAGGTTGTAGCAAGGACATCTGGCTCCATCATGAAGCCCCGGAGGGTGGGGTTGCTCAGGGCCCAAGGCCGATTCTTGTTCTTCTGTGGTGGCCCCTTCCCCATGGCTGCCCCCATCCCCGCCAGGCTGAGGGCCCCTCTGAGCCGAAGCAGTGGACACAGCCCTGAGTCGGCCTGCCCTCTGATTCCAGCCATGCCCTTCGCCTTCTGCACGAGGGAGAAGCTGCCCTGGACGGAATTTGCCGAGTCTGCGGAGGACGGGCCCACCACCCAGTTCTGCCAGAAGGTAAAACATGATGTGAACATAGCACCCCCCGACCCCCGACCCACGGGGCTCCGCCCAAGGCCACAGCTGTAAAGGCACCATCTGCGGCTTGCTTTACAGCGGAGCGTCGCGAAGAATGATTTGCCACCTTTTAAAATTGCCCGGTCACTTGCACCAAGGAAACCCTGGTGGCGTAGTGCTTAAGCTTTGGGCTGCCCACCTCGAGGTCAGCAG